TTTTGTTTGTGTCCAACACGCGCTCTCTGTTGACCCTATTGTTTACTGCTTAAGGCGCCATGCACGAGCTTTATTTTTCAGTTCAGTAGAATTCAAATAGTTGAAGTGTCCTGCCTGAAGGCCCGTGAGGTGCGCGTCATCATCTTCATCATCTAAGGTGCGGCCTCGGCCTGCAGGTCATCCTGCTGGCGCCCTCTCCTGGTTGGAAAAGCAAACTGCACCAAGAAATAGATTAAAAAATGAAATTAATATAAATAAATAAATAAAAAATGATATTAATGCGCTAATGCGAAGGCGCGCCGTGTTGCCGTTTGTCTGTTAGCAAAATATCTCACGAACCACTGGACGAACTTTAATGACATCATGAGAAAGTCGTTATTAGAAATATTAACTTCTGGAGTCAAGCGGATTCAAAATGGCCGCCACAGCCAACTGAACTTGCAAAACACAAAATCGATTTTTCCCCGAGTTAAAACTTGGTGTGGTAGTAGCTGAGACTGATCTGAGCGCCAACAAGGTCTGAGTTTTAAAATGCCATTTGGAGCCAACTTTGTCTGTCTGTTAGCAAAATATTTCATGACCCACTGAGCGGATTGCAATGAAATCTTCAGGAAATAATCTTTGGGTGACCTACTGATCTGGAGTCAATCTAGATTAAGATTACTGCTGCAGCTAATCAAATAAAAGGAAGTGACTCATTCAACAGATATTGAACTAAAATTCCACGTGGTAGTAGCTGAGAGTAATCTGTAACGTAACGTGCTGCACATTTACATTTGTTTTATTACAACATTCCCTTTTCTCTTATAGTTAATCAGATTAAAAGACAGTTTGATCACTGTATGCGCGCGCATCCGTCCCAGTTTCATCCGGTTAAATAATCCAGTTGTCCTCCACGCACGCGCTCTGACATAATTGGACACTTGGCTGAGAGGCCGAGCAGCAGCAAGAGATGGAGGAAGAAGAGGAGGAAGAAGAGCGCGCGCTCGGAGAGGAGGGAGGCTTTTAAGGCGCGCGTAAGCCAAGTTAATTAGCGGTTATTAACAGCGCGCGTAATGGGAGCGCGAGGGAGTCAATTTAATGAGTTTGTTAGCGCGAGTTCAGAGCGACAGGCGAGGATGGAGCAACAAAGGCAGCAGCATCAGCCGTAATGTGCTCTGATCAGAAACAAAGGGTTCTAATTTCTTCAACCGACTCCATAATTTGTCCTTATGTAAGGCGAATAATTAATGACTTAATGCTTCAGCAGAAGTAGTTCTGTTTGAGAGGAGGGCTGGGGGGGGGGGGGGGGGGGGGGAAGGCGGCTCTATCTGGTACCACCGGGGACGTGGGCCAGAAGAGAGCGGACCAAGGAAGGATAAAAGGTTGCGCACCAAAGGAGGTAGGAAAATA